TTTTTTTTTTTTTTTTTTTTTTTTAAGAAAATGAAAAAAATCTAAACAATTATATATATATATATATATAAAAAATGTTGGATTTCAAATGATTTGAAATGTGGTTACAAAGGAAAGGAATCAATCATGGAGACAGGGAAGAGAAATTAGAAAATCCCCCACCACTAAAAGCTTATCCCATTCTTGATGACATTCAAAAAAATGGGTGGGGTATGTTTGACTCGTATTCCTTCCATTTCTCACTTCCCCTCCAGACGTTTTGTGTCATTGGGATATTGAGAATTGTTCCATTGTAGGAAAGACCACATAGAAATAGGCTAAACGGTGACATGAAGAACATAAGGATCAGCTTAGTTCATAAAATTTTAAAATTTAGGGTAAGGAAAGAAATGGGTTTGAGGGTAGAGCGATGAAGGACAAGAAGAAATGGAGCTTGTGTCATTGTCATGATGTGACCCCAAGTGGGTAGGGCAGGGTGTCCTTAGATATATCCCTTTTGGGTGTAGAATAACCTTTGGTTCAAAGTCAAAACTATTCCCCATTTGGGTAATGCCCCTCTTTTTCCCATATCATACATTAATCAACGAATATTTGAATTCCGGGTCTCAGATATTATACTCATCATATCGGTTGGAGAAAAAAACGAACCATTCCTTATAAAATATCAGCTAGCGATGAACTTTAGTAGTAACAAACTTTCAATTAAAGTAATTTTTGGATGTTCAAAAGTTGAAAAGGGCGAAAGAATAGATGATAAGAATCATTGTGAGTGCTGATTGAGTGTTCCTTATCCTTACCCTTAACACATTTTTGTTCTCTTAAAGCAAAGACTATCCTATTTCATATCATCCGTAGATTTAGACTTCTTTCTAGCTGCAATTTCAATAGTAACTTATTTCCCTCTTTTAAGGGATCTGTCCTTTCCTATCACTTTGTCACCCTCAAGTGAACGTCGGAATGGAAGCATAATCTAATTCATATCAAACTTATATCACAACTACTTAATTGGCTTCCACCCAATCAAAGAATGTGATTCTCAATCTTTTCTCTTTTCTCGACCATTTTCTAAAAAGCTTCCATCCATTATTAAGATAATCTCGCACCCATCAAAAGAAAAGATCTAAAATTGATAAATACTCCGTATGAAAACATATGCAATCATGATATCATTATCGTTGAAGCTCTGGAAATTTTTTATCTAATCAAGTAGTAATGATAGGTAGAATTACTGAGGGCTTCTATTATTGAAACTAATCACTCTTAAACTAGTCATCCTAAACGTAGTTTATGATTTAGATCTTAGTTAGCCGTCTACCTCACACAACTATAGAATAACTATAGAGTTTTGAATACTAGAAGAAGAAAAGTGACCGTTTGTTCCCATTCTTGACCTTAAGGAGTGGTAGTAACACCATATTCTGACAAATCCTATAAGATTCGGAATGTCGCGTTCTCTATGAAAGCATAATTCTTGTCTCCCTCATTGGAGATCGTCCATCCAAAGATGAAGACCTCAATAGAGTAAATACATGGGAAGAAACAATTGCACTAATCTTGAAAAATGTGATCAGATCAATCAATTAACTTAAAGCTACTTAACCAATTTGAATATATAGTCTAATAGCAAGTTCTCTAGTATATGGAGGAACTTGGACAATGAGTTAATTAAAATGTAGATTCCAAATTAATGTCTTGGGAGTCCTGCGTCTAAAATGAGAAGCAAAGACATTGCAGTAAAGACCAATTTTGGAAGTCATGTGTGCTCATTCATGCTATTCCAAGATATTGTTTGTGGAAGAATTTGAACGATACAATTCCTACCAAAAGCAATGTTTACGAAAAAGGGGATGGATACTGAAGTTATGTGCTGTTTTTGCAGGAAAAAAGGGAGACTACTACGAGCCATGTTATGTGGAATTGCAAGTTTGGTAAACAGGTCAGACTTGTCCATTTTCCTAGCTTAACTGGCCTGTTTGACTTGTGCAGGGGAAAGCTGAAAGCCTATCCACTACTGGGAATGGTTTGCTGACCACTGGGAGGACACAAATCAACAAAGACGTAACCATTCTTTGGAGAGCCCATGGGACAAACTGCAATCAACTAAATGTCACAAGGTGTATAGCAGATCCAAATTAGAATCAGATTCACAGAACTACCATATCTGGAGAAAGGCGGATTCCTTGTCGTCAATGCAACACGGTTCCACATATGAACATACTCCTATCTCACAGTTCTTCATGGCTTTCACTCTCTTCTAACACCACGGTGATTCGCTCACCACCATTGCTTATCTGACTTCTTAACTAATAGACCAAAAGTTGTTTAGCTATCAAAAAAGGACTTCAAAATAATGAATTTGGACCGTCCTTGTACAAGTACAAACCATAGAAATACAAGTCAAACTGAGTTGAAGACACGTTGAACACTGCATTCCAACCATCATATGCTCAAAAATATCTCAGCTTCTGGAGCTCAAAACCATCCAGAATCCAGCAATGATGATTTCTAAGAACAAGTGACGACCGTGACAGAAAATTTCCATGATTTAGTTGGGTGGAAGTTCCTTCAACAAAGCTAAATCTAAGGAATTTGTTCGTCTGAAGGATGTTCAGGAGAAGCGGGTAGTTGATCGTCACCGTCAGTTTCAGCCAATACAGGATCGTTAGGAGGAGGTTCCTCTCCACTATCATTGGTCTCAGGGTAAAAATTAATGGGAAATTTTGTAACCCTGGGTTTATCAGATAGAATGTTTCTCTGAACCCTATCGATCAAGACTTTGGCTGGAGGTTCTTCTCTGAGCTGCTCGTCATCATAATCATTGTTTACATAGTAACCAACGCGGATAAACTCCTGACCCATATATGAGCAGGTCAACAGAAGTACAGTTACGCCAATGATATCTTCTTCAGGAATTTTGGATGGGTCCGGAGGGTCGGCCTGGGAATGATCCATATGGGAGGGGATAGCGAGGTTATCTCTATGAACAAGATGGTGTATTAACAAAATACAGAAATTGGTCAAGGAAATTTACCTGCAATACAAAACGATAATTGCCAACATTGACAGGACCCACAAGAACACACTCCAAGAGTTGATCATAAGTCTCAACCTCAGCAGACCCTACGTAAATTAGCTTCCATTCCAAATCTGAAGCAGAAAGAGAAAACAGTCGGGACAGAAAGATTCAGTCAAAAGGGTACTACTGCAAGTCCAATGATCACCAATATAATTGACTAGACTTCTAAAAAAATGCATATAGATGCCACACGTAATATGATAAATTTTTACCCAGGGAAGTACAGAGTTCAATAATAAAACTAACTTTTTTTATAAACTAAAGTGCGTATCACACTTAAGAATAAACTAAATACTTGCACTCAAATTTCCTTCTAAATAACAGAGTGAACGTTTCCATTCATCAATTGGATATACTTTTCTCGAAGGTGTCATAGAAAAAACTGCAAATTCACACATCTTAAAGAAATATCCACGTCTCATCATACAATAGAATCTAGTTGCTCTTGCTTAACCAAATTTTCCCTTTTTTTAGGAAACAATTACATCCGACTGCAATAGGTCATGTGGTGCTTAAACATGTAGCGGGGGCTTTTTACTGTGAGGTATACGACACGATATAGTAGAAAAAGATATGGAATTATAAATAATACAATAATGAAAATATAAAGCTAGAATTTTGTGTAGAAAAGCTTGTAGAGATCTTTGGCTGCTTCAGAAAGAAAGAAACTCAAAAATATTCCAAGGTTGGATTTGACACACCATCAACCCGTAACTAGAGTCTAGAAGGATTCATTTCAATTACAAACTTTTCTAAGAAATCCTGCAAAACTGATGTTGGTATTTATGTCATGGCTAACATGAGCTTGATTCAAAGAAAATTTGGCCCTGTAATTCTATCTAAACTAGTCCCTATCTAGTTCCTGTTCTAATGGCCATGCTATAGAATTATACCTAGCCACAATCTTTCGAATAGTAACTTGTTAGCAAGGAAAACCTTAAGCTCCTGGATTGAAGCATGCATTGGGTGTTGACCAATCAAACATTGCCTGAACTTTATTTTTTGTTAGTCTGACATGATATGTCCTAAATATATTGGTTGTCTTTGCATAAATGCTCTCTCCATTTACTTAATATACTGTATACAACTTGTGTTTCTTAACAGGCACCCTAAAAATAAAAGCAAATCTGAATTTCTGTAAGAACATCTTCAATAAATCATTCATTGAAGCCGTAAAAACAGAGTGTGGGTTGGTCAAAGCAAAAAATGTGATTGATTTCATTGACCTTCAGTCATTATTCCATATCATACCACATAAAGTGATTGTGCTTCTGCTCCCTGCCATCCCGTTAACACCTACCACCAGAGTTCTATGCTACAACCATCAAGAATTTTCTTCAACATATACCACGAGTACCTCAAAGAGCCTAATCAATTATAGACCTTGCTGCTGGAGTATAGACTAAACAAAGGACACAGTCTCTTCTGAGATATCTAAAGTTCAACGTGAAGTAAAAAGTTGGAGAACTAAAATGGTGCCCTTTAAATATCCAATAACAAAACCATACCCACATCAAACAATTACTTTTTATGTTTCATCATAAACCTCTATCAAAATAATTTTTTAAATTGAAACCAAGAAAGCAACTGCAGCATATCTAATTTTGCTAGCATCACAAAAGTTAATCATACTCCGGATATGCCAAAATTATTTGTTGGATATGCTAATACGAAAATCCCATTGACCAAGATATATAAATAAACTCAGGTAAATATTCGGCTGACATCCATTACTCCGCTACAGATGCAATAAATTAAAATTTTGCAATATCCTATCCATCAACATATATCGGGCTAACAACATCAATTACCTATCTTCAATCTTTACATGGTGTGGCACCGAATGCAGAGGGAAAACATTAGGAATCTTGATATGATAATCAATGGAATACTGAATAATATACAATAAAACATACAAAACAAGAGTCCTACGCTTTCCAAATGTATTTCCAGGTACAGGTTCAGAAAGTATGCTCAGAATTTTGCAACCTTGTTAGTAAAAACTTGAACCGTGACGACAATAAGAGACTCTCACCTAAAAAAAGGTCAACTAAGTTAACCAGCCATCTTGCTGATATCAAATATTCAGTCCCAGAACATTGATAGTTTGCACCAAATGTTAAGGGTAAAGCCTAGAAATAATTACATCAGCTCCCTGTCTCACTAGAATGATATAAACTAGAGCGCCCATAAAGAGGTGACAAAAACTACAATATCCCAAACATCTTAGACAAATCAAATAGAGAGATCAAGAGAATATTATTCATTGTCGATCTAAAAACCAAGGAACAATTTCATAACCCAAAATTTTTAAGGCCATATACTCTCATAAATGACCTCTTGAACTGCCTTTTCCAATCAAACCACATTTTTAATTCCGTCAAGTAATTCGTCCGCTGTAAGTAGAAATTCCTTGGACACAAGACGCAACATTGAAAAATTTATATTCAGTTTAGCAACCACAAACTCGTTTGTAAGTTTAGCTTTTACCAGCTAACATTAGTACTTTTACCAGCTTGCATTCACAGTCAATTATACAAGAAGTTCGAAACAGATTAACCCTAGAAAGTAAGCCCTAATAGAAACTGAATAGAAATAGTATGAAAGGGAAATAATGATTGAACACAGAAAGGAAATAAAAAGCGACAAAAAGTAGATCGAGGGAATACCGTATTTGAGAGGAGACAAACACTCGTAGGAGATCTCAAACTGAAGAGGGGTAGAGAAGGGCGATGGGTTGTCGAGAACTGCAACGTTAGTGATATTCACCGCGCTCATTGTCGTTGATTTCGATAGAAACAGACAGCTCGCATGGAATTAGCGGAGAAATGAAATAGCTCAAGACTCTACTCGTCCAATTCGATGCGTGAATCGAACTCCGAAATGATGGAATCGGAAAGAGGTTGAAGAAGAAGGAAGTCTCGAAGTAACCAACGAAGAGAGATATTTGTTTACTGTTTTTTGTTCGAGAAAAAGAGTTTTGGGTCTGAGTTTATGTTTGTTCGACAAAAAGGGGAAGAATACCGAAAATGTGGAGCGGTCACCGGCGATAACCGGTAGCGGGATTTGGCGGGAGTCGATAGGGCACGAACATCATCGGTCAGCTGTGGTGGCGTTTGGCGAGCAGAGTTGACGTCGAATTTCAGGCAAATTTACGTTATCGTTCATTACAAATCTAACGGCTAAGAAGAGATAATGGATCAAATATGTTTAAGACGGAGAAGAATTCTTTTTTTTTTTCCTACTCATTTTTTATTATGAGACCAAGTCAATTAATTAATTAAAATATTTAATTAATTCTCTCAATTTTTTGTCGTCTAACTCCTGTAATTACCATTGATTCTTTGATAAACGACCTACTTACGACAAAATCATGAATTAACTCCTCTTGAATCACCGAGAGGATAAGGCTTCATGTCTAACGTAGAATATTATTTTACGAAAATACCAATAAATTTAAAAGTTAAATTGGACATGGGTTATTCATTTAAACGGGAGAAGAAGCTGCTTCATTTTCTACGTGTACTCATGCGCAGTGTCACAGTCGTACATTTTTTACCGTGTAACGTTATGATATGCTCATGACAAGCCTTAAAGAAAATCAAGCTCCATATACATATTCTGCCTGCCTTTGTAGCTTTGTCGGACCTTCGGTGAGATATGTCTTCGTCAACTGAATACAACTCATGCAGAATCTAAACTTGTTTGGCCACGCACGCCGCCCATGCGTGTTTCTCTTGGTAGTATGGTGGTGACATGCAACTGCTCTCTCCCCTATAGTGCCCCTCGTGGCACTTTCCTTATAATATCACTTGTATTCCAACGACATGACCACGTTATTTACTTGACTTGAACTACTTTTAAGAGCGAAGATCATCTCCGAAACTTATAATATGATACTGTAGTTTTTAACAACAAATTCATGATTGAAAAAGAAAAAAAAAAACAAATAATATCATAATTATGTAATAAAAAGAATTAAAAATATCCTCCTCAGCATCTCCATGCAGAAGCTGCAATAAGAGCCCTATCTTGCCACCCCAACAACAAGCAGCCCTTGTCCTCTGTCAACCTGTAACCATCACATGAATATAAACCAAGCAATATTTTGGACTGTGTCACTGCATTGCTACTCAATGCCACCCCTTTGAACCCCTTTGTTTCCATCAATTTCCTCCATTTCCCTAGCCTCTCGTGTCGTTCAATTCGCTCCGCTCCTTCGCATGCCACTATGTTCCTTATCTCCGGCGCGAATATGTACTGCTCCACCTTTGCCCGCTGTGCCGACTCCTGTGGGAACGTTGCGTCGAGAGAGTCGAAAATGGCGGAGTAGTAGTGTAGGGCTTCTAGGAACCTCCCTAGGAAGTAAGGACCATTATGGCTTGCTTCTTGTTCCACTAGGGTTACGATGTTCGGAGCCTGATCACGGATCATTGCTAGTAAGTTCCCGAGGCTCTTCCCTGGGACACGGTGGAGACGGTTCACGACGTTGACCGCTAAAGCCTCTCCGACACGGCGGTTGAACATATTCGGCTTTAGGGCTTCAAGTTGCTCACCAATTGCATGGAATTCAAAAGGGACGTTTAGAGAATGAGCGAGCTCGGTTAAGCAGCGGCCGGTTTCTTGCACGGCGTCTATGACCGGGCCAACTCCGGTGATGCGGAGGAACGGGGAGCCACCCGGGCGAGCTGCTAGGGCTTGCATGAAAGCTGGCCATTGATAACCTTGGAGAATATCAAGGTCTATAACATGGACGCGCTCTTCAGCTTCAAAAGCTTCAAAAATGGCTTGATTAGCGGTGAAATGAGCGAACTTTACATAAGGGCAAGCTTGGTAAACGATTTGGTAAATCTTGAGGATTTCGAGGGAGTTTTTGGGAAATGGAGGGATTGGAGAAATGGGTTTTGCAGTGGTGAAAGTTGCAGCCAGACGTGCACTTAGGGCTTCGGTGAAACAAGAAGCAACTCTTTGCATGGAATCGCCAATTGGTGTGACAACTCTGTTGAGATGATGAAGGTATCTTCTTGCTAACATGTAATCCTCTTTGGCTACTGCTTCTGCACATGCAAGAAGGAGGTGCACCAGTTGAAGTCCACTATCTTGTTCCTACGTTTTTCAATGCCAAAACACATAATAATTACTTCCATGAACTTATACTAATTTTGAAAGCAAGTCGTGGGGTTGTTTTATTAAACAAAAACAAGTAAAAGTTCAAATTTTTATATAATAGTAGAGAAAAAGGGTGCGGTTGAAGAGAAGAACGAAACATTTCTTATAAGGACGTGGAAATCTCTTCCTAACGGACGCGTTTTAAAAGTTTGAGGGGAAGCCCCAGAGGCGAACCCCAAAAAGGGTAATATCTCCTAGCAGTGGATTTGGGCTATTACAAATGGTATTAGAGTTGGCACCGGGCTATGTGCCAACGAGGACGCTGGCCCTAAGGGGGTGGATTATGGAATCGCGCATCAGTTGAGGAGGAGAACGAAACATTCTTGATAACCTCTTTTTCGCCTACGTGTTTTAAAGCCTTAAAGGAAAAGCCAAAAAAGAACCATATTTATTAATAGTGGGCTTGGGCTTGGACTTGGACTCTTGCAAATGGTATGAAGGCCAGATATTGGGCGGTGTGCCATCAGGATGTTGGGACCTTGAGAGGGGTGGATTGTGAAATCTCATGTCGGTTGAAGAGGATAACAAAACATCTTTTATAAGAGTGTGGAAGTCTCTACCTAGCACTCGTTTGGAAACTTTGAGAGAAAGCTAGAAGGAAAAATACAAAGAGAACAATATATGTTAACGGTAGGTTTGGACTATTACGGAGGGTTTACCTGCTCAGACCCAACAGGAAGAGGCACCATCAAGCTATGGTTGAGCTGATTTTGTGGCTGCTTTGGAGGTGGCAACGGCAAAGGCGACAGCTCCGGTGGTGGGGGTGGCGGTGGCTGGTGTTGTTGATCTTGTTGTGGCAAAGAGGCAGTTGTGATCGACCCTATTTGAGTATAGAATTCCCTGTCCATAGTTGATGATTCGTTTGGCACAGCCAAGTCCTCAAAAACTGGCGGAAGAGAAGAAGTTGATATGTCATAGAATTGCAATGATTCTCCAATACCTGAAATCTTAGACAAGTTTTGAAACGTTTCAAACCCCTCAGGCTCTTCATAATCATCCAACAATTCTCCAATTGTAGGAAGCGAAGAAGTGCCCTCAATTGCTTGCATATATTGATTACTTGACGAGCTAAACACCTTGTGAAGTGGGCTAAGCCCTTTCCCTTTATGAACACTGCTCGAAGCCCCAACTTGAGAGCAGCTCCTAGGCGGCGAACATTGCATTGCTTGCCCATAGTTATAGTTAGAGTAATTGAAACCCAAGTTGTGGGGCGACGGCAAGCTCCGCACAGGCGATGAGATCATGAAGTCGCAGTCGAGTTGGTCAGCAAACAAGGAATCCCATACGGAGTTGTCCGGCGATTGAATCTCGATGTCGCCGTCGATCTCGAACTTGGGAGCGGGGAAGCTGAGGCTGCTTGGCTCCAAATCGGAGGAGGAGACGGCTTCATTCGGGGAGGTGGGGGGCGGAGGCTTGGAGGAAGAGGAGGTTTCAGTGCTGTTGCTTGGGCCAATGCTTCCGCAGAGAGAATTGATCATTTTCTTTCTTTAAGGGAATTTGGTATAAAAGAAGGAACTTGGAAAGAGATCAGTTTGATTGTTCTTATTGGGGTTACAAATTTGTCGGTTAGCAGAGGACGGTGTTTGAATGTCCAGTGATGACAGCGTTGGCAAGCCTGTGTGTAGCAGCGGGAGACCCAATTCTATTACCCCTCCCTCACATATGGGGCCGGCTGATGGCATAACGCGCCACTTTTTTTTTTTTTTTTTTTCCTTAAATTATTATTATCAATGTCAATACTAAGTAAAATAATAATTAACTTGGTTTTAAGAATTTGTGTTATGATAATCTATGCATAGGACCACAATTAATTAAGAATTATTATTTGTTTTCACTTATGTCACAGATATTTAATGCTTGAAAAAAAATCAATTCTGTGTAATATTATATTGATCATATTATTTGCGTTAATTTAATAACAGTTTGATCAATTTTGGATATAAAATCAAATTTGACTCTTTTTTTAATCTATTACATATTGTTGCCCCTCACACGATTTTAAAACTTGTCTACTGTGGAGAGGTTTATGGTTCTCCGATTGAAAAAAAATTAGGTTAGATATTAAATGGGGAGTTATACAGCCAAGATCCAGATGTTGGAGATTGTAAACTTCACAAGTTTCTGTTGTTTACAGCTGCAGCATTGGGAAGTTTATTTAATGTTGGGAAATACAATGCTTAGGGCACTAACTTGAGTTTAGTTATTATAATAAGAGATGTTAGGTTAATTAATAAAATGCAAATAATAGTGATTCAATCACACACTAAGTTTAATCAGAAGAGATTAAAGTGAAGAGTAAGAAGAAGAAGAAGAAGAAGACTGAGAGATTTGATTGAGAAAAAGGACGAAATGAGAACATAGGCAAAATCGTCGGGCATGGCGTCGGTGGCGCCGTCTATCCCTTGGATTTGCCAAAGGAATCGAGTGTTTGTCTTTTTTTCTCTCGTTTCATCCTCAGGCGGCCAATTCCTTCCTCTCTTCTTGCTCTCCCTCAGCATCTTCCCCTTTTCAACATAATCACTATTCTCAATGCCATAATTTAGCGTTTTTGGCCCCCGAATGGCATGCATGCAGCTACCCCCACATTCAAACCTTCCCTGTTTTCAGAGATTTTGTGAGATATCGAAAATCTTATGCAAGGACTCAATAAACGCGCTTGAAAATCATGGATATGTAACAGGCCAGCAGAGAAGACAATATCTACTAATAGTGGGCTTTGACCATTACAGATTTAGTATGACATCATCGTAGTAATAGAGAGAAAATCAAATAGGAATAGAATAGGAAAGCGAAAGAATGGAAATTTCCGAATAGAATTGGCATGGGATTGCAAAAGCCAAAAGGGGTTTGTGAAGACTAGGGAGAAAAACAAATAGGAAGGGATTAGTGGGACAAGAGGACAATTACAAGATTACAAGACTTAGTCTTCATGATCGATCTGTCGTTCAGGAAGAAGATATTTTTGAAGAGAGACACTAACCTGTTTTATTCTTTGTATTCTTACGCTTTGTGTTGTGAAGGGAAGAACATTCATGGTGGATGTTCAAGCCTCCTGGATTATCCTACACATGAAAGAATCAGCAAAGCAAAACCCATTTATAACCGCTTTCAATGCTGTTATAACAACTCAACTTTACCGCTCACAGATATTATTCTCTTCTTTTCGGATTTTCCCTCAAGGTTTTTAAAACGCGTAGGTTAGGGAGAGGTTTCTACACCCTTATAAAAAATGTTACGTTCTCCTCCTCAACCGACGTGGGATCTCACAATGGGTGAGTTCTATTGAAGTGGTAGTAGTAAAGAAATAGAAAATTCAACAAATCTGTGATTGATTGTATGTTCAACGTAACCATATTCCAACATTCAAACAACATAAGAACATAAGATTATTCCATTTTATCACTCACATAATCAATCAATCCTGTCTTCATTTCATAAGCCAAGTCGTTAAATTGTAGTCTGAGGAGCAATCTTGAAGGAGGCCACTGATCCCAAACGGTGTCAGGCCTGCCCACATTTGCTTAGACAAGCAACACCTTCTTCAAGATAATCTTCCCTGCTGATCCAAAATTCAGGCGCATCCTGGATGTGTCAACAACAGTTAATCCCTTTTACTTCTTTAATCCAATGGTTTAGAATGCGCTATGGGTATGTATGTCATCTACCTTCATGATTCCTGCTAGGACTGCGCCCCCCAGATACACCATGTGCTTCCTTCTTGGTGGATCCTCTATCCGCAATCTCAATTTCTAGGAACCACAGATCATTAAACATACAAGTAAATAGTGTTTTACTTTCCCAGGTTAAAGTCAAGAACTCAACAAAGATTAGATATTACCTTTAAACCATCTCTGTTTCCCTTCAAGACGACATCGAGATAGCGGTCAAGTATTTCTTTCTCCAAACTGAATATCATTACAATCAATCACCATTTTATCAACATCTAAACACATATTAAACACCAATCCAATCATGAATTTCGATGGTGTTTCAACAATAATACGTGTCTAGCCATGTCCAAAGGACACATAAAATAGCATATCGGACACATGTTCGGAGTGTGTCCAGACGTATCCATGTCTGACACGTGACTGACACGGAAACTCGGCCTATAATGAAGTGGTCGTGGTTCATAGGTCGAGTGTAAAAGAATAATATAATCAGACCAAGAAGAGCTACACATTACCGACTAGGTAATCCAGGATACATTGTGCTCCCGCCACTTAAAACAATATGCTGGTAAAGCTGCAAACCAATAATATTCATCAAAAGGGTACCAAAAGAAAGATAGATATTATTTCTTGAAAGCATAGGAAAGATCTGATCATACCATCATCCGATTATCAATATCCATTTCTTGAATGCAGCGGAAAACCATATCTGCCATCCCATCCCCTTCAACATCTATCAGTTCCTGCATGAAACAGAGAATTTCATTGCTTTAACCAACATTATGTCCCATTCTTATAATAAGAAGTAAAAACTAATGTTCTTTCTAACCCGTCCCCAATATTATGTTAACGTCACGTAAAAATGAGCTATAAATGTGAAATACATACAACCTAACATTAGTTTAAAGCAGAGGCTTACTGGAGTGAAAAGCGCCTCAGGAGCTTGAAAACGTTCGGTTCCAACTTTGATTACCCTTCCATCTGGAAGCTGGCCAAAATAACTCATCCACGTGAAATTAAGATGACATAAAAGCAAAAGGGGTAAACAGTGAATGAATAGGAGCATGTTACTTAAAATTGTTTATATGTACCATTCTTGTCAAAGGTGGTTACCATTACGAGTATGATTTATATTAATTCTTAGCAGAATTCACAAGAGGTGACTTACAGTATAGTTCTTGACAAGAATGGTGGTTTCAAGCCCCATTTGATATTCCCTCTTGTAATCATAACTGCACATATATATATATATCATCAAAAAGTGGTCAATAAGCACATATCGCAAAGCATACGACGTCAAGCTGGTTAGTTCACCTTATATAGCAGAGCTTCTCCTTGATTTCCCTAACAGTCTCAAAATCAGCAGACCTATTCATCGCATACCTTCAAGAAGTCGCACGTGTTAGCTAAAGAAACAATCAATCGATTCATATCGATCGTGCTATGGAAAAAAACCCTCACCCTCTTCGTGAGAGTAAATCAACAAGATATGAAGTAATGTGTCGGCCAGCTACATTCATTCTTTTTGTAAGATGAGGGAATGAGTAGCCATCAACAACTGGAACCTGAAGAACAAATTGGTAAAAGGCTATTAACCATCAAACTCAATCTGCACTCTCCACATAAACTTCATATCTATTAAATGATTGATTCTTTAATGAAAAACAAAAAGCTTCACAGATAAACAAATGTACTATGCTCAATGAGTAGCAAATGGATGAGAACAAAGTATGCACTGAAATTTATGAAGCGATTTGGTAAATTATTTACCACGTGAGTGACACCGTCGCCAGAGTCGATGACTAACCCAGTCAGTAAACCTGTGAGAGTAAAATAATGAGTGAAGAATTACATGAAAAACTAGAGTGAATTTGAGGATGTTTATCATAGGGGCGTGCCTTTTCACCGTCATAATGAAACGTACTTTCGATTCAAAAATTACAATATGCTAACCAAAAATCTAAGGAAAGGTGCGCCAATAGAGACAGAGAAAATAACTAAGCACAATTTTGACCTTCATTCATCCTTATAAGCACCTTGGGCATACAAAGTTAGAACTGCTTGGATTTGAATGAAGACCCCCGAAAAGTTGTACTTCTCAAACATTGTCTCAACCTGTAAGGTTATATCGACCCTAGTCGTTAAATCTAGCAAAAGAAAATTTGAAAGAAAATCGAAGGTCACAAACCATTTTTTCACGATTCTTCGAAGGATTGAGAGGTGGATCCGTGAGCAAAATCTTACATTCTTTTGGGTCTATCTATTGACAGAAAACACAAAAGCAATTAACATTATGATTTGTGCATGGGATGAATATAAACTGCTCATAATAGCTAAAACTTGCCTTCAGTTCGTTGAAAAATGCATGGTCCCACACATGACACATATCATCCCAGTTTTGTACAATACCATTATGGACTGGATAAGTTATATCAAGTTGATGACGCAAATCTGCACAGCTTTCTCCAACAACAATGTCCTATAGTAATTCAGAGAGAAGACTTCAGAATGAATAATCTATGTAACCGTCCAAGCCTACCGCTAGCAGATATTTTCCGTTTTGGCTCGTTATATCGTCGTTAGCCTCACGGTTTTATAACACGTCTACTAGGTTGAGGTTCCCACACCCTCATAAGGAATGTTTCATTCCCCTCTCCAACCTATGTGCGATCTAACAATCCACCCCCCTTGGGGGCCCAGCGTCCTCACTGGCACACTACCCCGGTGTCTAGCTCTGATACCATTTGAAACAACCCAAGCCCACCGCTAGTAGATATTGTCCGTTTAGGCCCGTTACATATAGTCGTCAGGCTCACGATTTTAAAACGCATCTGCTAGGGAGATGTTTCCACATCCTTGTAAGAAATGTTTCGTTTCCCTCTCCAACCGATGTGGGATCTAACAATCGAATACATAGCTACTAACCTCAGGATCACTCTTTCCATAAACTGAGACATCTAGACCGAAAATATCTTGGATTCACTAAAATGCAATTCCTAAGCTCATAAAAGATAATCTCTACATGGGAAATGAACATGTATACTCTATTTTTGAGCATCGAGAATATTAAAACAGTACTCGTGTAATCAGTTACGCTAATTAATCGAATAGAAATCACCCTTTAACCACTAACACAATGAGCATTCCCCCTTCTGCTCTATGGAGTAGTAAATACAATTATCCCTAACAATCGGATTGAATGTTGGAAATTTCTGTTCATAGACAAACTACCTTTCAGGATGAGATCACAAAAAAAGATCATGACTACAGTTGATTGTTGAGCTAAGGATAGAAATGAGAAATCAGTCATGATATTAAGAAAATCGAGGAGCACCACGAACATTTCAATTCTTCCTTTAGCTCAAAATACAAAGAGAAATTGCAAACCTTAAGCTCCTGTTCGATGAGTGATTCTTCATAGCGAAGCAGTGGCCTTCCCACCACACAAGGAAACACAGAAGTGGGGAAATTCTCCCCGGCAAATCCACATTTCACGTACTGCAAATAATGAACAATCTAATCTTAAACAACCGAATCAAAGCAGGTTGAAGAAAAATGGAAACTCAATGATTAGGCAGATTTGGACAGGGGATTGTAAGATCGTGATGAGGGCGATCATGGGGAAACGAAACAATAGATTGAAACAATGATTTAAAGAAGGAGATACCCCAGTGCCATTGTCGCAGACGACGACTTTCCGATTATCCATGGCGCCGCGATGTGGTTCTGCAGAAGATGGTAGTGGCTACGACTTTCCAAGACGGATTTGGTGGAGATGGCTGAAGTTGAGGGAAGTACGGAAGCGTCAATGAACAAGGAAGCTTTTCTATTTTCTTTTTGGAAGTATTACTAAGCCTAATACTTCAAATGGGCATCGTCTTGGACTTCAAAACTTGGACCCAGAATTGACACCAACTTAGGTAAAAAGAGGTTTGGGCTAGAAATTCAATATTTTTGTAAAGAATATAATGAATGTGGCGAACACTAACGTTGCTTTGGGATCAAGATATCTACTTACCAAACTGTGGGGCCATCCACAGTCTCTTGAAACAGGTAAAAACTTAGAAAATTCACCTCAATTTGTCAGTTTATTGCTCTGTTCTTGATTCGATGATCATTGGCAAGAAGACGCATGATGCTTTTTTTGGGTTTTTAATGACATTACTTCAGTTACTGACATTAATGGATACGAACCATGTAATTTGCTTTTGACTGCCCTTGCTTATGATGGGTATTTTGCGCATGCCCAGAAGGTATTCGATGAAATGTCTCTTAAATGTAACACTCTTGGATTTGGTGCGTTTCTATGGAGGGTTGGGTTTGAAGAAATGCTGATTTAGTTAAAAGTTTTGCACATGCTAGAGGTTCTGTTTGCTAAGTAACATGTTTTAGGTATCCATTTTTCAGCTGACACTTCATAAGGGTCGGTCTCTTCTTGCTCTGTTTCTTAGTAAAATATATACCCAAGATTGAATGCCCTTCCTTTTAAGAGTAACCTATTATCGTCTTTGAGTTTAGTCTTTAGTTCTCCAACGTGGCAGTCCAAGCAAACCATTAGCAAATATTGTCTTCTTGTCTTTGGCGTATGTAACAGCTTAAGTCCACCACTAGCAAATATTGTCTTCCTTAGACAAAAGGCCTCCCTCTCAAGTACTCCTTGGGCTTTCCCTTTAAGGGCTTCCCCTCCAGGTTTAAAACGCGTCTATTAGGGAGAAATTCTCTCATTTCTAAAAGGAATGTTTCGTTCCACTCTCCAACCAATATAGGATCTCACAACCGAAGACTGAGTTAGACCATTTTCACCCCTCCATGGAAATGAATCTATGGTAACTAAGAAGCACATGACTGTGAAATACAACAATTAGAGCATATTCTGCATCCACTTCCATTGAGCCCAATAATTATAGCTTTACAGTCTTCTACAATTCTGTAGGAACAACGTCTAATGTACCACACACTACACTGGTCTGTACAGACATACATCCCAACCAACTTGCCTTTCAGTACAAGGTGGCTGGTTTTTTTGGGGTTTATTGGCTACGATATGAGAACATTGTAGCAAACCCTCACTTATAAGGGTGAAAGGAGAAGGATTCCTATATATTTACACTGTCCCTTGAACTTGTCATGTATCTGTGCATCTTTTTCTTTTTTACTTGTGAAGGAATATACACACAATGGGCAGAGCAGCTGCTGCTTTCAAGAGTAGGATCTTATCAATTTGAAATTCTGAAAAGTTCTTGCTTTGAACAAGTTTCCCAAGAAGAATCCTGTCGTCGTCTCTTTCAGAGGCGTTTCGGAGAGCCATGAGTTGTGTTTCACCTGCAGCATGGCATCACCGATCTGTTTGCGAATGGACTCAATGGCCTTCACGTCGATGGTGGTTCCCGTCATGTCCGTGACATAGAAAACATCTTTGGCTTTTCCACGTTTGGTGACGATTTCTGCCCTCCTGATGCATAGGCTGTTCTCCCTAAATATTCTTGTGATGTCTGATAGAAGCCCAACTCTGTCTTCTGCATACAGTTCTAGCTTGAGCCCCTGCAAAGGAAAGCAGACAAGATAATGTATTATTGCCTATGCTTTACCTTCAAACAATAAGGATAAGAAACTCAACGATGGCCTCTCTTCTACCTCAGACTCCCTTCTTTCAATGGCTGCTTCAAGACAGTGCAATACTCGGTCTCTTTCGGCTTCGGAGCTAATCGGCAGCCCGTCCTTATGTCTGATATAAAATTCCTGAAAAAGCAGTAACAGTTTTCCTTTAAATCATAACCGAACCTAAAAACTTAAATAGCTCAACTAGTTTCGACGAAAAATGGCCTTGGAATTACCAGATAAGCTTCCATGCTCCCAGTGTTTACCATTCCATGATAGACCACATACTCCATGTCTGTCAAAGTGCAAATAACATCATACATCAGCTTCGGCCGATCTCTAGATCTTGTAGTAATCACAGTATAATCCTTCTCGGCGCAATCCAAGACAGTAACATGGGGTCTCAAGTTCTTATCTTCAACCCCAAGCCTGGCTTTGCCAGCCCTTTCGTAATCTCGATCAGCCAGCATGATCTGATGCAGCCTTCTGTCTGTGCTGGTGACCCCAGGAGGAGAAAGGGTCATTTTCGCTTCCTTTAACTCGCCACTCCCTCTTAGAACATTGCATAGTAACTCCTTGATTGTTAAGAGCCGCTGTGCGTCTTCGATTGCTCGGCCAGTCTCGTGATCAGTCACACGTACCACAGCTGCAGCTCTACTATTATGTGTCCAAACATCAGCATTTACAACATTGCAGTGAAGGTCCGCAAGAACAGCACAAACTTCAGACAATAAACCAGGCCTGTCAGTACCAGACAGCTCGATTGAAGTATGATCCTCCGAGGGCATCACCCCGACCGACTCTCTCAATGATGGCACGAAACTCGCATCCACTTCAAGCCTCTACATGGTGCAATTAACAAACACATTATAACACAACCCTCATAAAAGATGGAACATTCATTCATCTATCCCACTTGTTACAGTAAGTTTACCATTTGAATGGCGTTTATGGTTTCTTGATCTCTGATTTTGTCTCCATCATGAGTGATAACATTAAAAACTGGAAAGAAAGAACAAAAAGTAACCCATAAGTGGCTAAGCTTTTCAGATTCAAAATAACTTAAACAGTCAGAATTACTAACCATCCATGAACCAGCCTCCATCAGAGGAGATATAGGCTTTGGTAATGATTAAGTTCATATCCATGAGGACTTGAACAACTTTCAAGAGAATCCCATGTTTGTTCATGCTGTCAACCTGATAGGTAGAAGAAAAGGATTGGAGCAATCTTTAGCTCCTGATTGAATAAACAAAAGGAAGCAATAATTACAGAGCAAACTTAAAGATCAAGCACCTGGATCACTGTAGTGTCCTTACAAGCGTTGTTATCAATCACAACTCTGCAAGAACAGATTGAATATAACAAATAAGAATTCACAGAACAAACCGCTACTAAACTCATAAATCATAAGTTCATTCACATCAGCTCGAGTAAATAGATAGCAAAAAGAATCAAACCACCACTGCCTTAAGTTATTGATATCACTACCAGAAGTCAACCAACATTGAAACATTAAAATTTCAACAAGAACAAGAAAGCTGGAAAGAAGAAAGATCAACTCGGAATTTTCGAACACCATGACTCACAAAAACCCAGAAGCAAATTTCAGGTGGGAAATCAAAACCGTTTCCAAATTCAAGACGAAAGAAGAAGAGTACCTGGGTGGGTTCAGCCTCCTGATAAGTTTATCATACTCGCTGTCCATGCTTGAAGAAGGGGGAAAAAAGGAAAACCCACTTCAAATTTCCACCCAAAAACAGATTTAAAGAACAACCCACAGAAGATTTATGCCCAGAAAGACGGTAGAAGAAAAAATACCTCAAGAACAAGAAGAAGAACAGGAAGAAGAGGACAAGAAGAGGAAGAGGGGAAGGCTTAAAAGTGAAGCAGAGAAAGGGGGAAAGGGAAATAAACGAGAGGGGGAAGAAAAAGGGAGTGTTGGAATTAGGGTAGGCAATGGAAGTTTAGGTTCTTAGTTTGTTAATTTGTAGGATTTGACTATCCATTTCCATGGCGATGGGAGGGAGGATTGAATTGAATTGAATTGAAGTGAAGCTTTTTGAAGAGTTAAGATTTTGTGGATATTACTGATGGCGATATTGCCCCAGCTCTAAGGGACCACTCAGGGGGCTGCAAATCACGTGTCGTCTTAGCCGCGGGGGGTTGGTCGGAGAGTTGCCGCTCATCTCGCCGGCAATTTCAGCGTGAGCCACTGGTAATCTGCCCACGTTATTTTTATGCTTTCCTTTCTTAATTCATTATAATTATATTTTAATTCTTTGTTAACTATTGGATTAAGGATACTAAACAAACCTGATTAACTATTGACTTTCCACCCGCACACACGCCGCCAACCAACTTTCCCAAACCCTAATGTTTTTTTTTTTTTTTTTAATATTAAAAAGAAAATTAGCCTATCTCCAACTTATTATTAATTTAATTATGAAACTACTCCCAATAATGGGATTTTTTTTAATTATTTATCCTCCTTCTTAATAAAAATTATAACCCATATTTTTTTATTAAAAAGATAGATATTATTTTTATTAGAATAAATTCTTTTTAGAAAAATTAAAAAAGCGAAATCAGACAACTTTACTATCAAAAGATAGAAAAAAAAAATAGCTATAATTTTTTTATATAAAAATAAATTTGCAAAAATTAAGAGAAAATTTTATTTGTGTGAGAAAATAATAGATATATAAAAAGCGGATATATTTGAAATTTTAAATTTTGTTAAGAATATTGTGCGATTCTAGGTGAATCTACTTTTAAAAGTTAGTAAAGAATATATTTAAAAATAAATAAAATAATGCGTCAATAACGTTGTGTTTTAAAATATTCCCAAAAAAGAATATCGCATTTCTAAAATTTTATTTCTTGAATAAAATTTACATTTTTAATTTAAAATTTGAAGGAACAATATATAGAAAAATAAAACCTGAAACAGAAAAAAATAACTATCAACCAAATTTCTTTTTGATAAAAAAATTATATTGACAAAAAAAAAAAAAAAAACATCA